CTAACGTGTGCGGTGATAGCTGAACACTGCGATTGGCGGTTCTGCCGACGACATCTTCTTGATCGTCGGTAACCTTGGTACCGAGTCTGGCTCGGGCATGGACTTCATCAACGGCTTTGCCTTTCTCGAGCGGTTCTTTTTCGTTTGGGACTCAAGCACTCCGCGTGCCGGCTTTGCGCAGACTCCGTTCACGTTCACTGAGACGAACTAGGCGGGGTAATTTGTGGTATCAGCTTCAGGCTGGAGCTCAAATCTTGCCATGTACGGTACCCTAGCTTGGAATATTATAAGAGACACCATGACTCGCTGTCTAAATGAACTCGCACTGGATGGCAAGCGCAATTTTTCCCTAGTAAGATTGGTCGAAAACTAGTTGAAGAAGGCTCTGTGTTTCTTTTTCCACCAGTTCCACCGTGTTTTAGACGCTTTTGGCCAGTTGAGCACTTTTTTTATTTGCTCAATTTGCCTTGGCGTACAACCGGGGAAAAATTGAACCTTATTCAACCACTTTTGCTCAGGTTTTCTCAGTGACAAACCGCGCTTACCGCCCTGTGTCGCGAGTCAGCTCATGTCTGACCCGCATTAGCACCGCTTCCGAATAACCTATGCGCACAACGCTCGAATGTGACCAGGACGCAGCTCTCGCATATACATATCTAATATTCACAAGGCCCGGACCTAAAGCTGACAGTATTATACCGATCTGACATACGTCATACACCGCAAGACATTGAGAACGGGCCAAAGTATGGGAAGAACACATCATCGCAAACGCCGGTGTCGACCGGCCAACTTTTCAATTTTGCTACCTCTGTCCGCAGACTTCGACTTTGCCGGCACTACCACACCATTGTTGCTCCCGGAGGTGCTGCAGATCGCGTTCGTAGGTGGATTAGTAACGACGGTCGTCGAAGCGGCGATCAGGAGCACGGTCGTAGCCTCGATCGTAGTCGCGGTAGCCACGGTCATAGTCACGGCCACCGCGGTAGTCGTCGTCGTAGGCAGCGCGGCGAGCACGCGGAGGGCCGTAGTCGTCGTAGCCGCGGGGTCCACCGCGCGAATAGCGGCTATCGTACGGCCGCGGGTCGTACGGGCGTTCATCTGGACGGGCTACATACATCAGGTGTAGGAAGCACTCTTTAGCGGAGAAAGCAGCATACATCCATGGTGCTTTGGTGGGCCGTAGTACCTGCCAGGGGTGGGAGTCCTGGCACGTCCACGCCGAGCCTAGCTGATGCTTTAGCTTTGTACGTGGAAGTATGTCTTAGATACTTACCTTAGTGACTGTCATAGTCTTGCCCATCAAGTCAGCATTGTTAAGAGCGGTAACGGCAGCATCCGCCTCTTCTGCAGTCTCCATTGTAACGAACCCAAATCCGCGCGACTCACGCGTATGAGGGTCATACATCACCTGGGCCTTCTTGACCTGAGGAGGAGGGATCAGATCACGCTGGCAGAATGACAAGATTCAAACTAAACGCACACGGCCGATTTTGGCGAAGGCTTGTTCAAGGTCGCGAGTGTCGACACGGCTGCTCAGGCTAGAAACGTGCAGGTTGTTTCCGGGGTTTTGGCCGCCTTCATCACCACGGCTACGAGAGCGCAGTTAAGGGGCCGCACGAGAAGCTCAAAATTTGCGCTTACCCTCTGTCGTCGCCGCCGCCACGAGCGGGGCTGCGACTCCTGCTGGAACGACGCGGAGGATGGTCGCCCTGGTCGCGAGGAGGAGAGCGAGAGTTAGACCAGCCTTGCTCATCGCGAGCGCTGTTGCTCATGGGGGCGTCACCAGTTGGGATGCTGATGCCACCGCCGTTGGATGCGGGACCCATGTCTTGAGATTGCCAGGCTGAAGACAGGTATGGTGGAAGGGTGAAGATGGTACGTCAGGGTCGATCATGTCGGGCGGGCGGAGAGGTGGGAAGCTGAATGCAATGCTGGAAGCCGAGACCGTCCAAGGCAGACGAACAGACCGCGAAGGCGCAGGATGCGTCGCCAATTCTCACATTGCTACGGTCGTCGGCAAGAGTGAAAAGGGGTGGAAAAGACGGCCTTTAGCCGACTGCAGACGACAACGTAACAAGGCGAACGGAGCCATTCAAAAATTAGAAGTGTTCGGGGTAAAGTGCTGGGGCGGACGAAACATCGACAAAGCGCGTTCTCCTTGTCGTCCTGGTGCTCGCGGTGGCTGATGCTGAAGACGTACCGTCATCCATCGTTGCTTGCTTGTTGGTCGTCGAGTTCTTGGGCGTCGATATCGAGCGTGGGTGATGGTGGGAAGCAAGCTGCGAACTGTTCGTCGTGCGGGGTGTTTCATGGCGGCGCAGCCAAACAACACCAAACCGAGCGCCGACCCTTCCGGTGGCGCGCGGGCCTTCGCCGTTATGCCTGGCTGCAGCACACAGCTGCGATTGCATGAATATAGTGTATATGGACGAAAATGCAGACGAATCGTCCTCGTCGCACGCAACGACGAGCAGGCTTGAGTACGCGTCGAGGGTGGCCTGCAACACCGCCGGGATAGACCGGCTCGCTTATTCCAGGTCTAGGGTCGCGGCGTGCCGGGCCCAACGACCAGTCCTCTTTTCCTCCATCAACGTCGACATCATCTCTCCTGCTCCCGCCGTCATCCTCGTCGTCGAACTCGCCGAGCGGCCTAAAATCCCATAATGCGCACCCAGATGCTTGCCGCCGTCCTCCGCGCCCGCCCCGCTACCACCCGGGCTGCTCCTAGATTCATCCGCATGTCCTCCAGCGCGCACGGACAGGAGACCTTCGAGGCGTTCACCGAACGCTACGTCAACTTCTTCGAGAATGCAGAGGACCTCTTCGAGGTCCAGCGTGGGCTGAACAACTGCTTCGCCCACGACCTCGTCCCGGCGCCCTCCGTGGTCGAGGCTGCTATCCGTGCAGCTCGACGCGTCAACGACTTTGCGACCGCCGTGCGCGTGTTCGAGGGTGTCAGGGAGAAAGTCGAGAACAACCAGCAGTACCAATCATATCTGGATGAGCTCAAGGGTGTCCGTGAGGAGCTTGGTACGTGCCCCGAAAAGCAGAATCGCTTCTTGGGGCTCATATAGCCTACAGGCATCAGTACCGTGGAGGAGCTGTACCGCCAGTAAACCAATTTGGACCGCATAGGTATTGGTATGTTCATACAACTTGACGTATCCTTCTGATCTAATGGCTTCCTCAACAGCATTTTGCACAGGCGGAAAGTCACAGTCTTTGCGTTTTCGTCTTGCAGTGTTCCAGCTGTACCCCTACTAGATCACTCATTATGCTCTATACAATTGGGTACAGGTTACGCTACGTGTGAAATCGATACCGACGACCTGCTGTATCTCGGGCACTGCACCAAAACTGGACCCGGCAAACACATTGTTCAGGCGCTTTCACCCCCAAAAACACGAGGACCCGACCATTCATGGGGCTGTGTGGGCCAGTTACGGATGCTGGGGCGTAGGGACACGCCAAACCAGTGTAGAACGACGACCTTTTTTTGGTTACGCCCTCACTTGATCTTAACGCCACGTAGAGATCATCTATAGGCTATATACCATGTGCGAACTATACTAGAGTCTCTCGGTTGTCATCTGGAACAGAGCAAACTTTTCAGGCCGTAGCGCAATTGAACTCGCGGTCATCGTTTCGTGACTACTCATGCCACGGTTCAACCCGCTATGAGCGCCTCTCAAATTGCATATCTGTGCTCAGCCATTTGACTAACATGACAGACAAGATTTAGCAGACAGCTTACCTGCAAGGGTCCGAGGGAGCGGCACATATCCTTTCGAATGTCGTTACTCCCCCTATCCCCAGATCGATAGCTTACGGTCACGCTGTGCCAAATAGCGCCAAGCTGCGGGGGACGCCGCCCTCTGTCAGCCGCGAGCAGGAGTGCCGCAGCCAATGTCACAACGGGCAAAACCCGCATCCAGTTCCGCGCGAGGTGCGACTCCCACAACGGGCAAAACCCGCATCCAGTTCCGCGCGAGGTGCGACTGGACATCATCTCCAGTACCGCATCCAGTCGCGCAATCAGTCGTGGGAATTACTGTCATGATTGGCTGAACCCCTCCAGAAAGGCAGTGTCAAGTACTAAAAATAGAAGTGATGTGCTGCCCCAGTGCCCGACGCTGTCCACCCTTGTGTCAGTGGAAATAATTGCTGCGGTGCCTAAATATTTATTCATAAATAACACATTTTGGTTCTCGTGAAACTTGTGTCAAGGCTACAGATTTGA